AATGCGAAATAATGTGAAATACCCAAGAACTGACGAAACATTTGGGGGGTGGTTTGGCCCCTACGTGATTCGAACCTGCTTCCTTGCGCTCAGACGTTTTACGCCTACCAACTGACTCCACCTGGCAGCAGTAACAACTCCGCTGGCATGGCCTACCAGCAGAAGATAGCTATTCGGTTCTTAGTGGGACTTGTCAATACTGACCATAGTTAATAAGGGGAAACTCCAAATTGCTATGAGGCCGGGCAAACTTCAAAGGAGCTAACAAAGTACCACCAGTTAATATGTTAGGAGGTTCCCGCCCGTGCACAATGTTTTGTTTTGCTATCATACACTCTGCGTAAATATTCCTGAATTACGAAACTGAAAGGCTAGCTGCTCAGATCGAAGTAGACTTCTATTGTATTTTGTGCGCGGTCAAGACGAAAAAAGCGAACAAAAATACAGAACAAAGAACTTCGGGCTCCATATACATTACTCACTGCTGCATACAGCTCACTATTTTTACCTGGATGGTTTCTGATAATCCAAAGTCAGCTAATTTCACATTCCCTTTGCCGTCTAAAAGAACATTTGATCCTGGAAATAACACACGCAGAAGTTTTGAAGTCCATAGCAAAAATAGCCTTCTCTCAGCGACAGCAATATTAAAGCACATAAGCAGCTAATAAGCTAAAACAGATAGGAAAAGGAACTGAATTGCCAGGGTTTATTAAATGTTTTAAGGAACTTCAGTGCTACTTAATGTAGGAGTGACAAAAATTTCTGAGCATCTAGTTCCTTAATTGTAATTAACAAAGGTAACTAAGTACCACTTCTACTTCTTCTTCTACTTATTTTACTTTATTTTACTTATTTATCTTACTTTACTTTTACTTGCATGAACGTTGAATCACAGCCAAATTCTAATTTTTGAAATTTCGAGGCAGGGTCATTAAAATAGATTTTAAGAGAAACGTGTACCCCGCTAGCGCCAAATCTATTCTTAAGCACTCGGTCGTTCATTTAGGCTATTTTCTAAGGATTTAATTGTTCAGATATCATATCTTGCAAAATATTTGAGCAAACAGTAATTAGAGGAAGGAGAAACTTCTTGGAACATCTTTCAAAAGAGTTAAAAGTTGGGCGCTTATACTCCATCAAAACTGTAGTAAGGCACCTTAACCCTTGGAGTTATGAAAGGAAAAAAAAAGTAACTCTACTTTTGTCACAGTAAACTCCTGTTGTGAAACTAGCTTTATGTTTTAAAATTCTTGGTTCGGTCTCTTTTCAAATCTTCTACCCAAGCGTTTCACATCGGTATTCGCAAAATAGCATGAATACTACAAACATACCCTTTATGTCTCCGTGTATTATATTCCGGAAATGCAAAAAGGTCACTCCTTCTAACATTTGCTTTGTGAACCAACTTGCTTCCTTTTCCCAAAGAACTCCGCTCTTTTTTATATAGTCGGACAATGATCCCTGGACAAAAGAACCATAACATTAGATTTTAACTTGGAATGAATTTTATGGCATTCTTACCATAAATGGCAACAATTGCTCTATTGAATATCTCAATCTTAAATGCGTAGGGAACTACGTTTCAGATTACAAGCAAAGATAAAACGATAAGCTAAATGTAGTACTGCAAGCCTATGTGGAATAACCATAATGCGTCGATAGAGAAACTAGGGACACGTCACATGTAAGCACTTACCCTAGGCATGAACTCCATAAATAAATAAAGATAGCAATCATTCTGCTGACTTCCATAGTATGACACGATTCTCTCATGTTTTAAAATCTGTAAAATTTCGTTTTGTAGAGCGTTCACTTCCTGAAAGAAGAACCAAATAATTGTCAATAGTGTTCCATGCTAAGCCACATAGTAACTTCACTTTTGTCTGTGTTAAATTGCTTACAGTGCACTGTATGCACACTCAGAGACGGAATCTGATTTTCATAACTAGCACTGTTTCTAAAGTAAATAGATAACTTATTTGATCCACATTTCCGAATAACCCCCCAAAATAGTCAAAACTTGTCTTCGCCCATATTTTTTTCATTGTCAGTGCCCACTTTTTAAGCATTGCAGAAATTTCATTCACGTCCTTTGCGCTGAATGGCATGAATATTGG